TTTTTTTTTCCTGGAAATACTCTTATCTAATTTGAGGGGTTAACAGTAAAAAGCTCCACCTCTTCTATCACCATAGTCATACCTGGATACAAGCCACACCAGTCTTTTCTTTTGTTTGTATATATGTTATAGAATTTTTGTGCATTTCATATAATAGATCTTAACAAAATTTAGATCCCCTCCCCCATCCACAGACTCTCATAGAACCCCCCAATGGATTTCATGCATTCTATCATTTATGTTAAGCCCTATCAGGTCAAGTTAGTGTCCCCTGACCTTCCTCAATGCAATTTCATTCACTGGAGTCTAGTCAGCCTATTTAGAGTCTCTCCCTTAAAGAAGATCAACTCTTTCTCACCCCGCAGTAATCAGTTGTGAATAGTTCCTTGGCTAAGATTGGGGCCTGCTGTCCATTTCTCCAGTTCTATGCTGGGTTTTTGTCTGATTGGACCAGACTGGGTCTTGTGCATACTATTACCATTGTTATAAGTTCATATGGGCAAGTTCCTAGAGGCCTGAAAGCTTCTGTTTCTTTATGCTTATGCACCACTCATCAAAGAAGTTTTTTTCGAAACAAATAGAGACTGTTACAGAGTTCCATAACTGGTCACACACAAAGAATATATATCTGAGAGATGCCCAGCCCTAAGTGACAGATCTACAGAGGAACACCTAAGGCCTACGAGCAGAGTGGAACAGGAGGTAGAGAAAATACTAATACATCCCTCAACTCTCACCAGTGGAGCTTCCTCATACAACAGAGTGCAATCCATACAGAAAGCCATAACTGGTCAAGTTTAAGAGACTAAGAGACTGGAGAGTGTGTCCCTGGATAGAATTCCTATATTAAACCTCTTTTCTTTTTTAAAAAATAGAGTATCTTTTATTTATTTTTTGACATTTTCATTCATGTAAACAATGCATCTTGATTATATGTACCCACCCCTTCCCTCTCCCACTCTCTCTAGGAGCCTCTAACTCCTCCCTCCCACCCCCAGACACCCTCAACATACCCCCCACCTCATTTCATGTTCTCTCCTTTTTTGACTAATAATCCACTGAGGCCAATTAGTGCTGCCTTTAGGAATGTTGACGACTCTTTTGAGTTGATTTTGTGCAGATGGTCATCAAGTTAGGTCAGGCTTGACCAATATGGATATATTTTTATTTTGTTTATGACTATTTCTAAGACAGAGAATGGGAAATTACTAATTCTTATGACTATATAACAAGATATGTTTAAGTATTTCAAAAACAATTAAGTAATAAAGTTACTGTATTAATTTAACCATAAAGCTTCTGATAAATTCCATATTTTAGGATGCCATACTAGATATCTGGTTGGGCCAAACTATAAACAAATAAATAAATTTTCTTTACCAAATTCTGTTTTCTAATTTGTTTTGTAACACTTAAATTAAAATTATTTCACATAACATAATATAGTTGTTAAAAATGTGAGCTCTGAGCTACAGTTTTATGATTTAGAACCTAGAGTCCTAGCTTAATCAATTATAAGCTCTTTGATTTTCAGAGCTGCTTGATTTCTCTATACTGCAGTTAACTTATCCATAAAATTGAAATAACAAGGGGACCATTTCTCTGTGGTTGTCAGCTGAGTTCAATGTAAAATAAATACAAAGTTTGCTGGTACATAGTATGCTCTCAAAAAATGTTAGTTACTATTATTAATACAATTTGGGGGTGTAATAGAAGTTTCCCTCAGGACGAAGGCTAATAGTGGTATTCTAAATAATTAGTCATGAAAAAGAAAGGATAAACTCCTATAGAGACAGTTTTGGACTCCTGTATAAGAAAACACTATGATGAGACAATGTTTTGTAGAAATGGCAAATGAGCATCTGATGTGGCATAACAGTGCAATTATAGACATCTGTGCCCTTGACTAGTATGTTTCTCTATGAGCAAAATGAGAGAGGAAAGCAAAATTTCTATAGTATTTATCTGGTCTATAACTTGTATTGATGAAGTGTAAGAGCTTGGAAATAAACAATGTGGCATTATCTACACAGTGAATTCAAACCATTTATTAAACAAAGCTCATCTGCTTGAAGAAAATGTTACCATTATATATACATATATATGGAGGTTTGAATGAGTCCTCCATAGGCTCAAGTATTTGAACATTCAGTTCCCAGTTGGTGCTGCTGTTAGGGGAGGTTTAGGAGGTATGGCCTTTTTGGAGGAAGCATGTCACTGGAGGTGGGTTTTGAGAGTTCATAGCCATGCTCCACTTTCAGTTGCTCTCTCTGCTTCATGTTTGTGGTGGGAGATGTAATCTCTCAGTTTCCTGCTCTGGCCACCTGTTGCCATGCCTCCCCACCATTAGGGACTCTTATAATGGAACCATAAGCAAAATAAATTCATTCTCTCATAAGTTGCTTTTGGTCATAATATGTTAGCACAGTAACAGAAAAGTAACTAATGTGGCATATATTTGAGAATTGGCTTCTGATCGCACTTTCTCACTTGAGATTGAGAAGTCAATAAGAAAAGTCATCTATTAACGCACCCCTTAGGGTTATCATTTTGCTTTCTAGCCCTTAAAATGAGGGAGGCACAGAGAAAGATTAGTCTTGATACACAGAACAGAAGGAAAGAAGATATATTTTTCTAAGTAATTCTTATGTGCTGTGTTACTGCAACTCACTGGATTCCAAACTATAAGTGCTCTGACCCCATAGAATCCTTGTTCTGGTCAGCAGAGGCTTGTTTACACTCTCAGAAATGAGCTTGTAACTAATGATTACCTGATGAATTCACAAGATATCTGCCTCTCCAATTGGCAGAGAATAGTTCCTTAATAAACTAAAATCATGTTTACTCTTATAATTATATTCATTCTGGAAAACTATAAAGGGGAAAATTAAGTATCTTGGTTTATAACCTCACTAAATCTTTGTCAATGTTTAATAAACAAGTTTTTTAGGTCTAAAATTTTATTTATTTGATATTTCAGCATTAAATGTGTGGAAGAAGAGTAATACCTAGGTTAAATGTAGTTTGGGAATTATTAACATATTTAACAGATATAAAGCTTTTGAACCTTAATCTATAGAGAACTGCTACTATAGACCAGTTTTGGACATGATCCAATCTCGATAGTATGTCACCCGAGTGTAGACACCAGGCTTGTTTGGAAGTGCACATTCATCTCCCCAGCTTACAATACCAGCAAGGAACCAGGTGCCTTTAGAATTTGCACTAACCAGTGGTCCACCAGAATCACCCTAGAAAGGAAAAAAGATATAAGTAATTATTACAATTTAAAGGACAATAATATTTATTTTTCCTTTGTAACAATAACAGGGCAGTAGAGAAAGGAAAAAGAACTCTGTCTTTCAGCACTTAAATGGTACTGGCCTAGCACATTTTTGTGTCCTATTATTGTTTACTTAAATACAAGATGTCAATATATGTTTTCGGTTAGTGCAATAAAATAAAACAAGTGTGAAAAAAAAGTTACTGAAGATCTTATTGCTCATTCAATCATCAATATACTAAGGCACATTTTC